CTCCTACGCTGCTTGTTATGATGATGATTATTATTATAAATTTATTTCTATTTTTTTTCTCCACCTGGAGCTTGCGAGGAGGAGGGAGGAAAATCCAGGAGGAATCAAACCAGCTTGATAAAAAGTGACAGAGGGGGATGATGGGCAGTGAGGAAGGCAGCCGGCTTTGCTTGCTTCTCCTGGGGAGGAAGCAGGAGGGAAAGGGCACGAGGCTGCTCTCCCTTTGCAGCCCCACAGCTGGACCACACACACCTCTTAGAAACCCCGCAGATTTGTTTTCCACACCAAAATATTAGGGAGAAAAGGAAATTTCTCCTCCACTGGCTGTGATTGGCTCAGCCATCTCATAACCCAGCTTATTCCCGGCGCAGGCACCCTCAGCTTGAAGGACACGGCTGGCCAAGCTCCTTCCGTCTGCAATGGGACAGTCAGTTAGCAGAGCAGGGTCTTCAAGATGAAGAAAAAAGCCACAGACACCCCATCAATCCCAACCCAACATCTCCATCCTCTTTGGGACATACCTACGTGGTATACCTGTGGAGATGCCACCAGGGCACCTCTCTGGGACACACCACCACAGAAACCTTTGGAGATACCACCAGCACACCTTTGGGACACACCACCATAGGAACCCTGGGAGATGCCACCAGGGCACCTCTCTGGGACATACTACCACAGAAACCTTTGGAAATACCATCAGAACACCTTTGGGACATAGTACCACAGCACTCCTTGGGGACACACCACCACTGCGACCCTCAGAGATGCCACCAGGGCACCTTTGGGACACACCACCACTGCGACCCTCAGAGATGCCACCAGGGCACCTTTGGGACACACCACAACAGCAACCCTAGGAGATACCACCACAACAACCCTCAAAGATACTGCTATGGCATCTTTGGGACATACCACCACGGCATCCCTAGTAGATACCACCAGGGCAGTTTTGAGACACATGACCATGGCATGCCCTGGGGACATGCCCTCCTCAAAACAGCTCTCCAGGGGAGCCAAGGGACCCCACCGAGCTCTCTGCACCTTTTCCCATGTCAAGAGCTCATCTCGAGGGCCTATAACCAGTCTCTGGGCTGGTGACCGAGCCACAATACCACCACTGGACCTGGACCATGGCACAGCCATGACCCTCTGCCCACCTACATCCCATGCCATGCTCCAAGGTGGAAAGCATAATTCCTCCCCTGACCTTCAGCCAAGAGGACATCTGGAACATCCTTAATCCCCTGGCCAGGCAGAGCCGTGCACCATTGATCACCAGCCAGCCCAAACTGGGAGGAGCTTTTCAGTCACTCAGGGAGGCTCTAGGATGGCAGCTGGTCATGAAGTCATCGCTCTCCATCCTCTTTGCAACACGGATGGGGGCTGAAGACTCTCAGCCACGGGGGTCTGGGCAGGGCTTGGTGCCAACCAATGGGAATGGAGGAAGAGGAAAGTGGGAAAGGAGAATTCCAGCTGCGTGTGGACGGGCAGAGAGCCTGATTTGGGTGGAAGCTCCTGCATCCTCGGGGATTAAAAGCGTCACGGAAGAAGCTCCGCATTATCCATACCTGGGTTTGGCCGTCCTGGCACAGCAAATGCCTCTTCTCAGCCTCCACGGACCAGAAAGCTGCAAAAGCAGCTGAAAGGACGCTTGTATGCGAGATGCTCCTTGCATGATGCCCCCCCCGGGACAAGGGACATGAGCCTGTTTCTCCTTAAACACACCTGAAAGGAAAAAAAACCCCACACCCCGACCAGTTCGAACCCTTCAAGGTGCAAAAATCTCCATTTTAAGTCCAAAACCCCTCTCGCAAGCTCTCCAAAGCCGGGGGTGGGGGACTGCCCCAAGCCCCCTGCAGCCCTCCCAGGCAGCATTTCTCAGAGAACAAGCAAAAAAAAAAAAAAATAATAAAACCCACAACTTTCTTAAACCAGAGCCTTGGGGTTTAATATATTCATTTTTTGTCATCACAGCCTTTAAAGGGAGCCTTCTGCTTCACAGCGTTTGCTGGGAGTTTGCAAACACCGCCTGCAACAAGCTCGCCGGCTGCCCTGGCACGTTAGCAGCCGGGTGAGATCATGAGGCAGGAGGAAGGGATCAATACAGGGAATATCAAGAAGAAAAAAGGGAAATAATAAATGAAAACATAACAGCAATAAGCTTGGGAAGATGAGTTTTGGTGCAGGACACCCGTTCCCAGTTTGGATGAGGAGGAACAGGCTCGAGCCTCACAAAAAGCATCTTAAAAAGGGTAGCAAAATAGAAATATTTGCATTTAATGCATTAAATGCACTTTGTGGTTAAAACAGAAGAGATTTTCTGTCCACGCATGGGCGAAGGTGGCGGCCCTGCTCAGGGCATCCCCAAATGGGGTCGGACTGTGGGTTAATAAGGCTGCTCATTAAGGCAGCAGCAACGAGCCCCGTCAGCTTTGATGGTTCCCCTCTCCTTTGGGGAGCACATTACCCACCGTTAGCAGGAGAAACAGCCTCATTAGCTAAAGGACGTTAATTTGGGACAAGGAAAAATGAAATCCAAGGTGGTAGAGCAGGCTCCTGGCTCTGTCGGGCCGTGCATGGGGGGAAGCTTCTGCAGCATCATCTCTTCCACGCTTCGAAAGCGGCACCGCGGCGCGATGTAGCATCCTCATTTTGGAGTCTTTTAAATTAAATTGCAGCTGAGGTGGCTGGCGCAGGCTGGAGACCCTGGAGGGATGGCATCTGGGGTCCCACAAATTGTTTTTATCACATCCTCTTGCTAAATAAAGTGCAAACTCTGTCGTTGGCGTTAGATGCAGCACTGCAATAAATACATATAACTCTGCATCCACCGTCGCGTAGCACGGGAGCTCTCTACCATCGGGCGATACCCCTTGAGAACCAGTTGCTTTCCTGCATCCCGGCCCCAAACGTGGCAAAACTGCAAAGGAAAATAAGAAAAAGCGGGTGGAAAAAGCCTCCTCAGCTCCCTTCCCATAGGCACCCCTGATGCTGGCGGTCCTTCGGCTGCGGCATGCCCCACAGACTTCGCCACCCTCCTCACGCTGTTTCACGCAGCTGAGACGGGGAGAAAACTCCATCATAAAAGACTTTCAGGGCAGAGAAAGAAAAACCCAGCAAAGCACATTTGATGGCTAATTAGAAAAATATTCAGAAATCGGTGCGAGGAGGATAATCTTTGCTCTCCGGCAGCAGGAGCCGTGCCGTCCCATTTCAAGGTTGAGCGGTTGGGAATATCAATCTGATAATTGTAATGCTACAAATGAAAATCAAATTGGAGCCGGTTAGAGGATCGCATTATAAATTGATTTAGTCCTCGGACAAGTTTCCACCTCCCTGGTCCCGGGTTTCTCTGTCGAGGATAGAGAGCGCTTTGGATACCAGAGACTCAAGTGATGGGGTACATCCCTCTGCCCATTTTCCCTCCATCCTGCACCATTTCTGGGTGAAGAAAGCAGCATTTGAGGGCTTCCTATTGATTTTTGAGCACTATATGAATCCCTTGGGACGCTGCTGCTGAAGCAAGGGAAAGAAAACATTATACATCCGAAGCCAAACCAGGTTACAAAATACTGCAAGGGAAGACGCTGATTCCTGTAGGATTTATTTCCCCACTCCCAAAGTGTCCTTTCCTCTGGAAACCGCATGTACTCAGCTCCCCAAACCAGGGGATTTTGGTACCAAATATCCTCAATTCACAGTCAAAAAGTAGCTATTTCAGTAAATCCCCCCTGTTTCAGCAGAGCCAGCACCCTCTGAGCGCTCCCCACCATTCTTTCTGCTACTCCAAGTGCCCCAATATATACAGATTCCTTCTTTATACAGGTAATAATATACATCATATTTATATATATTT